GCCCCCCCCCCCCCCCCCCCCCCTCTCTCTGTCTGTCTGTCTGTCTGTCTGTCTCTCTCTCTCTCTCTCTCTCTCTCTCTCCCTCCCTCTCTCTCTCTCTCTCTCTCGCTCTCTCTCTCCATGTCTCTTTGTCTCTCTCTCTGTCTCCTTCTCTCTCTCTCTATCTCTCTCTTTTTTTTTTCAGAACGTAGACGCGGAGGAGTGCTTTCACTTCGAGGCGAAGAACAAGAACGTCACGGACAGCAAGACCATCGGCATGGGAAAATTTCCTCTTAAGTGAGGAACGGCGACATACGTATGCACTCCCGCGATGCAGCACAAGTCCAACACTCGTCAAGCCCGTGACCCAACACAACACAGCACAGCATAACTTATCTTGGTCAAAACGCCTCACAACGAGATGCAACTGCTGTTAGGGTCCTATACAGATGGTGCTCCGAAAGCGTCCCTTCAGACGAAGGAAATATGTAACTGATCGGGCAGCAGAGCTGACAGCATTTTTTTCACGTGAGAGTTACTGTGAATCCTCCCTGTATCCTATCTTTGGCACCGGCCGCTTCTTTTGCTTAGTGTTCCACCGGTTGGAGCGGCGTGTTGCTCGTGTTTTCCGTCGTTGCAAGGCTTATTTTTCTCGTTTCACCCCCGTGTCTATCAAGGGTATGTACCTACGGTACTGTGTGTGTCCCAGAGGGGGGGGTGTCGGATCAGAGTAAGAATGCGGACCGCCCACGCAGCAGCCAGCGGTGCTCCGCTCCCTCCCGGCTGAGTACGGTGCCAGAACGATGTTTTGCAGTGCTAACATTTCGCGGCACGTACGGCTCGCGGATCGTGCATCAACCCCCCCTCCCTCCCGACAGTCTTGCTTCGACGGGTGCGTCGCTTGATGACCGTTCAAACGCGCCTGTCGGCATCCGAGTGGCGAAATGCTTGGTCGGTTCTGGGTCCCCTCCCTCCATGTTTCTGTTCGAAGAAGTGAACATTCTCTTCGCAATTATGAAAAAGGTTTCACGTCTACCCACAGCAGTTACATGCGTTTGCTGGGCTTCACGCCCAAGTGTTGCCGTCTTCGTGCCCCTCGAGGGCGCTTTCTCTTGCTTTGGTGCGACTGTTACTGCCACCGGTGCTTTCTTCTCTCTCCGCTGTAAGGCACTTCGGACCCGTGGCGCAGGCGACTTGGCACAAGATCTACAACATCAAAGGGAAGCCCGCGGGGGAGGTGCTTCTGGAAGGGAGGATGGACGACCGGCACGGGTAGGTTTTGGCCGATGCTCCGCCGCAGCGATCTCTTCGTTGTTTATTTCGCTTAGCTGTCGTCGGAAGTGCATTGCGTGCAGCTTGCTGTCTGGACATGATGTTGGCGATATAGCGCGACCGATCTAGTCGTTGTTTATTCCGCCTACAATGGCGTCGTCGGAAGTGCATTCGCACGGCTCGCTGCCTTGATGTCTTGGCGTGTAGCGCGACCGACCTCTTGGTTGTTTATTGCGCCTATTATAGCTGTCATCGGAAGTGTATGCAAAACTTGAGGACGCCTCTCCCCCCCCCCGCCGACATCGTATCGCTTTCCTCACAACTCGCGCGCGTAGGATGTCAACCCATGGAGCACCGATGGTGGGCTCGACACCCGGCCTTGGTCAGGTAACACAGCAGCATGTTCTACAACGTCTTTCGTCGGGCTTTGCATGCAGCAGGCATCGGGTGATTTTGCGGGTGTCCCCTTGACGATTGTTGTGTCCCGATCTCCGGAGAACCTACCTGTCGGCGTTTCAGGATACGGGTAAATAGTCGTGTTTTTCGGCATACCGCTTTGCTTAGCAGGCGTCGGATGTTGGTGCTGTTCTTGTGTCCCTTGCGCCATTGTTCCGTCCCGATTTCTGGAGAACTTGTCACGTCAAGCTATGGAGTTTACCTTTTTCGGCATCATGTACCGCTCTCCGATGCTTGCACGCGAGAGCCATACACGAGCAAAGCGTAGTCTACCTGTGCCAACGCGATGGTGTTGCAGTTTTTCCCGAGTCTTGTTAACTTCATAGGCAAGTGCTGCTACACGGTAAATGTGTCAAGAGACCCGTAACGATGGAAAGATAGCGAAGAGGGTGGCATTGAAGAGGAACCTATCGGCCCTCTTGTCGGGGGTCGTTCCCCTGTGACACTTGAACACCGACGCCGTGGTCCTCATTCCTGGCGTGTACGTATCTCTCTACATTGCGAAGAATCATCCCCACCCCCCGCTGTGTTCATGCCCCCGTTTTCTGCTCTACACGCGCCCTCCCCCTTTTCTTTCTGCGCTGGTTTTCAAGCTTCCGCCAAACGCTGCATGCATGCCATCCGATTCTCTTTTACCCCCAAATGCTCGTCACTTACCGGCCTTACCAGGCTTCTTGGAAAACAGCGCCCCCAGCCGTCTATCTCTATTTCCGTCAGCCCTTTCGCCTCAACGCGTCTGCCAATAGGTGTAGTTCCACCCGTGCTAGTGCTTGCTCTCTGCCGTTCTTGTCGCGAGTTCACTCCTTTCCAACAAGCTTCTTCCCTCACCCCCCTTTCCCTATCCACTCTCCTGTATACCCATGCTCCCTATCCCGTTTTCGTGTTGCCCGAAAATCCCTCCCCTCTCCTCTCCTCCCCCCCCCCCCCCCCCCCTCCGTTTCTCATTGCTGATGTCCCGCCTTTCCCATCGAACGCAGCCGTCGGCCTCCCCGATCCCCCCGCAATCGTCCATGCACTACCCCCAACACCCGTCCGCGGGGGGGTACCCACAGTCGACGGGGTACGGCGGCGGGGCCCCTCAGCCATCGTTGTCGACCTCGGCCTACGGCGCCTCCCGTTCGCCATCGGGATACGGCGGCGTTGCCCCCCAACAATCGCTGTCGACTTCTATGTACGGGACCCCCCGTTCGGGGTCGGTTTACGGGGGCTCTCGGCCGCCATCGTCTTCGTACGGCCCCCCCCAACCCGGAGCATCATACGGCGGCCCTCAAGCACCATCAGCGGCGGGGTGGTACAGCAATCCTCAAGCGCCGCCATCGGCGTACGGCGGCGCTCCTCAGGCACCGTCATCGGCGTACGGCGGCTCTCGAGTCGCTGCTGCGCCGGCGCCGTCGCCGGCGGGGTACGGAGCCGCTCAACCGCCGGCTTCGGGGACGACTTACGGCGGTGGCTTGGGTGCCGCAGCCGGTGCGCCGCAGCGAAACCCGAACGCCGTGTACTACGGCCCTGCCGCCGGCAGCGGCAGCGGCGGCGGCGGTGGGGCGGGATTTAGCGGCGGGAGCTATCGAGGTGAGCCAGCGGCGGGGGGAGCAGGATTGGTGGGGAGCCGACCTTGTAGCTGTTGTCGATGCCGCCGTGTTTTCTTGGGATGATATGTTAAATGTCGAACCACGTATCGCCACGTGTGTCATACAAATACGCACGCACGAATCGCTGTGTGTCATACAGATACGCACACACACGAAAATCGGTGCCCCGCTTCGTCCGATCCTCTCCGCCCCCGACCCGACCCCACCAGGACGAAATAAAACACTCTTTCTCTCCCTCGTTTCTTGTATCAATGCCCGCTCCAATCGCCCCTCCCTCCTCCTGCACCCCCCCCGCTACCACTCCCGTGCTTGCCCCCCCACACCGATGGCGACGAACTCTGCCACCCGTTTGACGACCACATTTCTCGCTATTGGAAGCCGGGGCGCCGCCGACACCGGCCATGTCGCTCAAGTGGGGTACCCCGGCGGCGGCTCCGGCGGCGGCGCAATACTCGACGTTTGGGGGTCCCGAAGCGGCGCAATCTTCTGCCAGCACGGCCGCACCCTACCATGCGCCTTCGGCCCCGTCTGCACCGCCGGCGACGACCCCAGCACCGGCAGCGGGGTACTCGAACGGCAGCAGTCCCTACAGCAACGGCGGCGGCAGTGGTCCCTACGGTAACGGCAGCAATCCGTACGCCAGCGGCAGCGGCGGGGGTGGTGGAGGTGCTCGTCCCCTTCCTCGTGAGTGCCGATGGATGCAGTGCCAGCAGTATTTGTGGTTCTGCTGCACACGAACAATTTGGGTCGTCCATCCCTACCCGGCATGTCGCTCCGTCCCGGCTTTGTAGGGATGCGAGGTCAATGGTAAAACGACTACGGCATGCACGACTATGAGTACACCCCCCCCCCCCCCCCCTCCCTTCCTTTCCTCT